CCCGCCGTGCCCATCTCCCCGCTGCCACAGGTACACGGTGCTCTTCTCCCACGGCAACGCCGTGGACCTGGGCCAGATGAGCAGCTTCTACATCGGGCTGGGCACCCGCATCAACTGCAACATCTTCTCCTACGACTACTCGGGCTACGGCGTGAGCTCGGGCAAGCCCTCGGAGAGGAACCTCTACTCGGACATCGACGCCGCCTGGCAGGCGCTGCGGACGCGGGGGCAGGGAGGGGAGGGGAGGGAAGGGAAAGGAAGGGAAGGGAGGACATCCGGGAAAACCCCTCGATCCGGCAGCCTGGAAAACAGGAAATCTGCTGGAGAGGGAACCTGGGCTGCTCCTGACGGGAAGGGGTGGCCGGAAAGCAGCTGCCGGGGTGAGCGGCCTGGGTGACCCGCAGCGATGGGGACACTGGGGGTATGACCTTGCTTGGGGTGCTGGCACAAGCTCGGGGGGTGTGACCTCGCTTAGAGGTGCTGGCACAAAGTTGGGGGGTGTGACCTCGCTTGGGGGTGCTGCCACAAGCTGTGCTCCCCATCCTGCTGTTCCCAGGCTCCCCCCTGGCCTTGCTGAGCCCCAGTTCCCCAGCCCGGCTTGAGGTGCAGCCCCCCCCCTAAGGAACTGGGGTCTGTGATTTGGGGTCTGGAGCCCTCCTGTAACCCCGTTCCTGGCAAGGATGAGCCTTGACACCCCCCCAGACTCCTGCCTGAGCTGGGGGTGCAGGGCAGCAGCTTTGGGCCCAGTCATGAGGAGCTGGGGGAGGCAGCGGGGTCAGAGCCCCATTCCCCCCACACCAGCCCTTGCAGGGTGCTGTGGCCGGGGTGGGGTGACCCCCTGGGCTCTATCTCCTGGCAAGGTGACTTTGGCGCTTGGGTGCTGACCTGCCCCCTCCTCTCCTCCTCTCCCAGGTATGGGATCAGCCCAGAGAACATCATTTTGTACGGGCAGAGCATCGGCACGGTGCCCACGGTGGACCTGGCCTCCCGCTACGAGTGTGCTGCCATTGTGCTCCACTCCCCCCTCACCTCTGGCATGAGAGTCGCCTTCCCCGAGACCAAGAAGACCTACTGGTTCGATGCCTTCCCCAAGTGAGTGGCCTGAGGAGAAGGGATGGGCTCAGCTCTGGAGGGGCTGCCCTGGCTGCCAGCCCTGGTCACAACTGTGGATGTTTCCCATGATAGGCTCAAACAAGCCCATCAGCATCTTCTTGCCCCGTTTTCTAGCCCCCTCCAGGGGATTGTAGCCCTCCTGGGGTCACCCCTGCATGCACCCCACATCCCCTGGTGCCATCACCTCCTGGCCCAGTGTCTCTGCCCCCAGCTTTGGGTCTGTGCCACAGGTCTCACAAGCCACGGGGGTCCCTGGGACTCTTCTCTCTCCCCCAAGGGTAGTTTTTGGGGGTATTTCCTCCCTCTGCAGAGGGCAGGGACATGGGAAGGCAATGCTGAGGTGGGACGAGCTCTCACTTCAGCTCTCCCTTGTCTTCTCCAGGCCAGTGGGGCCTGAGGGACAGTCCCTGAGCTGGGAGCCACCAGCCCGTGCTCTGTGTCCCCGTGGCCTCCTGTGGCCTTGGGGCTGGGCTGAGAAGGGCCCCGTGTTTGCTCCTGGGAGCCTGGCGTGGCTGATCCTGGCACGGGGAGCCCAGTCCCTGCACTCAGGCTGTCCTGCAGTGCTCTCCCTTGGCCCTGCCCAGGTCCCACGGGGCCGTTGTCCCTGTTCTCTGGTCCTTGTCTTGTCTCTGAGCTCATCCTTGGCAGAAGCTCCACATCCCCACGCTCTGCTGTGATCAAAGAGCATTTCCAGATCCCTCTCCCCGAGGGGATGTTCGGGGGGGGGCAGGAGGAACGGGCCTGCCTTGATCCTTGTCCTAACCCCCCCCTCTCTCTCTCCTCTCTTCTCGGCAGCATCGAGAAGATCTCCAAAATCACCTCACCCGTCCTCATCATCCACGGCACGGAGGACGAAGTCATCGACTTCTCCCACGGGCTGGCCCTGTTTGAACGCTGCCCCAAGGCCGTGGAGCCCCTGTGGGTGGACGGGGCCGGGCACAATGACATTGAACTCTACAGCCAGTACCTCGAGCGCCTTCGGAAATTCATCTCCCAGGAGCTGCCCAGCCAACGCAACTAGGCGAGGGGACGGGCTGGAGGGGGGGGGGGCCACTCGCTGGCCCTCCCAGTCG